GGCTGAAAAATTCTGGAGGTTTATAGATCTGGTTGGAAAGCACGAACGAAATGCTTAAAACTCCAGTTCTGTTGAAACGGTCAATTTGAGATGGGAAGACTTCTACGTCCAAACTAAAATAAGAAGTAACAGAATTCTGGAATGCATTGGTCAGAGAAACAGAATCCACGGGCAGGTCATGGGACTGGAAAGTAGTCAACAGGCCATGCTCAAGATCCTTAAAATAACTTGTGTTTCTAAAGTTTGAGAAACCAGGAGCTCTAGAAGTCAGAACTCCTCTATAGGGAAATGCACATTGCAGTTTGGGCTGGAAACCATGTTTGAACCCAAACAGGAGGTATACAGTTATTTTCTGGTGTTGAATATTGTGATATAGTTTGCGAGCTTTTGCAGTAACTTTGCGAAGTAGCTCCTGTTTCAAGAAAATGGGGTTTCCAACTAGTCTGCAAAAACATCAGATAACTTTATTAGAGAAGAGAAACTCGAAACACTTTTTATTATTATAGAACTCAATAGTTGTGAACTTTGCTAAAGTCAAATTCTTCTCTAAAAGCAATTTTAAGGGCGCACTCGCCCATGATACTGCCAAAAGAAATAACCCAAAGTAGTTAAGGAGACATGCTATCACTTCTTACCAAATCAGTTAATTCCCTTTTGTCAAAAGGTAATAGTTTAATCTCTTCCCCCAGGGGTCAGAATGACATGAAAATAGTATAAAAAATCTAATAAAATTAGGTGAAAGAAGCTTACACGACATTAAAACTGGTTCCTCCACTTTTCTGTTCAAAGTCACCTATCCTATTATCCTGTAAATCAATAAGATTCAAATTGGGTAGGCTGTTGCCGACATCCAAGGTACCATTGAGCTTATTATTCCTCAATATCCTGTTTCCACATTTCAAAAAAATCAGTTTATGACCATAATGTTTTCATAAACTTGAGAGGAAGAATTCGCTGCATATGGACATGTCAAAATCCATATGCACTTAGATAGGATTACTTACACAGTCTCTAAATTAGATTGGCTAAATAAGGAGTCCGGTATTTCCCCTTGCAGTCCAGTGCTTTCCAATAATCTGCCACACACAGAAAGTGACTCAAAAGATGGACAGGGAGAAATAGTGGTTGTGTTTGGATGAAGGAGATAATAAGAACTTACAGTGTAGTTAAATATGGCAAGCTTGAGGCCCATGAAGGGATATTGGAAGGATTAAAAGAGTTGTTGCTCAAATCCCTGCACAACATTTGATATATGAATAACATTGCATAAATATAAGCATATATTCTTCATGTGAGGTAATTTCGCAGATCTAATTAAAAGGAAAAGAATTGCTAGTTACTCCCCAAGTATAGGATAAATATTTTAGCCAATGTAATCACTATTTTATTACTTACACAGAGGCGAGTGCATCTAATCCAGTAAGATCGGGCATAGAGCCATTTAGTTTATTGTTGCCTAAATTCCTGAAGAAAAAATATGATCAATATCTTCTCTCACTAACAAGACTCTTAACAAAAAAACAAAGAAAACCTCTTCAGATAGTTTTGAAGTTAAATTTGACCCATTTTTTCTGCATTCTTACAGATCAGTGAGTTTTGTGAGATTTTTGATACTTGAAGGCACTTCTCCAGTCATTTGATTGTGATCATACCGTCTGTTACCAAAAGAAAACATTCAATAACGAAAATGTCACGAAAATTTAATCGATTGTGGATAATAATATCTGTGACAAGGTACTCACACCACCGTCAATGTCTTTATCAATCCAGTAGTGTCTGGAATGCTGCCAACTAGGTGATTGTTGTCAAGAAGCCTGACCAAAAGAACATATGAAATGATCCTCAGTTCATTATTGAAAAACAAAATCACTTAAAATAATAGTAAGGTTACTCCTAGACCCTTAGACTCAGCCAAGAAAATCGTAGGAGGTGTGGATCCCTACATCCACATTTGCCAAGTCAACAACATCACAAAAATAATATGAGCTTTCTAGTTTTAATGAACCTTACAGGTGTTTCAGTATCATCTTTGAACTTAAAAGCTTAGCTTGAACTTCCCCTGAGAGGCGGTTGTTTCCAAAATGACTGCACAAGTTGAACATAGAGACATATCAAGTCCTTCGCTGAGCCAGAAAAAATGCGGCCATGTGACAACAAAAACTAATGAAATCAAACTAATGTAGAGAGAAGGCATACAAGTGCTCTGCTTTGAGTAGCATGTCAAGACCAGGTCCTTCTTCATCAGAGATAGGGATAGGTCCTTCAATCTGGTTGTCTGCAATATCTAGCCAATTGACATTGGATAGATTGCCCAACGTACGTGGAATATTTCCACTCAACCGATTAAGATTAAGAGCTCTGAATAAGAATCAGTAAGTGTAAGTCATACATTAATTACCAGGTATCAGCCTAAAGAAATACCAGGGCAATCTAAAAGAGATGTTAAATTTCAAGTATCATCCTCTTAAATTGGAAAAACCCTTGGCTGTATCAGCAACATTTTAGGGGAATTTTCTACATGAGATATGGACTTCACGCATTTGCACATAGCTCGTGATCAGCCATAGCTCACAATTGATGAATAGTCTTCCCATAATTTTATAAATATGTTGATTTTGATTTTGATTTTGATTTTGCAAATGAGAAAAGATCAACATGACATTTAGTTCCCGAACCAAAAATATATGCAACACAACATGGTTATACAGTAAAGCAATACAATTAAATTTCTAAAAAGAAAAGAGTAACCATCATTGGTCGTCATTTGATCGTTATAGATAGGTCTTACACTTCTTCCACTTTCAAAGAAAGGAGCACATGCTGCAGGCACTATGAGGCCCATCACTCAGAATGTTTTCGATCAGTTCCTAAATGTTGAAAATATCTAAATTTGTTTTTAAAAAAAAAAAAGCCTTACTATGGTTGAGGATGTATGTTAAAAAAAAAAAAAGAATAAACTCTTATTCTTTTCTCGTTTGTGTATGTGTAGAGCTTCTTAAGAAAGTAGCAGCGGTGGCAAAAATAAAATTGTTAAAATGGAATCCTTACAAAAAGGTCAGCCGCTTAAGATCTCCTAATGATTCAGGAATAGGACCAGAGAAATCACAACCAACCAATGACCTGGAAAACAATAAGAAAAGCAACATATTATCGGTGAATGGGGGGGTATATTATTAACCAGCAGGAAACCAATAAATACTTTATGCTATACTATGAATGATTTGCTTCTAGGTGCTAAATGTCATCCTTACAGGATTTGTAATTTACTCAAATTCCCAATTTCAGCTGGAATTCTTCCACCCATGCCTTTGTTGTAAGAGAGGTCCCTATATAGACAAAAACAATATCATATAATCAATTGAACTAAGAGTTACTGATGTAATCTAGTCTAGATCAAACTATATAATATAATATAGGATTTTGAGCTTTCATATGTAAACATAGGAAAGAAGCCCAGTGAGAAATTCATATATATACAGAATTCTGATTTATTAGCTCTGTCTCACTTATTTAAGGGGAGAAAACTTACAGAGTCGTTAATTCAGTTAATCTCCCAATAGCCTCCGTCAACCTGCCTTTTAAGTTCATGCTTAACAGTTTTCTGTCGAATCAAGGAGGGAAGTTTAGAATTTAAAAAATAAATACAATAAGAAAAAGGCAAAAAATTGATAATGGTAACAAATAGAGATTAAGAGCTAACATTGATGCCACTCTCGAATTGTTACATTCGATGCCTTCCCAACCACCACAAGGATCTGTGCCCACCCAACTTGGTGGCTTGTTTTCCCAAAATTCAGTGAGAGATGATAAAGCAGTAACTGCACCAGACAAAATGAATTAAAGAATCTTCAGAAATGAATCTGCACTTTGTTATTCGAAGGGTAAAAGAATAGAATTCACTAGAGTTTGATGTTTGAAAGTACAAGATTTTAATGTGAGAATGTGACACTTAGCAATCCAAAACAAACGTTTGGGGCATAAATCTCTAAGGTTCATGTCAGAAGATTACAGATCACATGGATTCACTCAAAATCTCATTTCCTATAAGATTAACTATAATTTTGCAGTTTCTCAAACCAAAAAATTCAAAGAAGAATGTTTTTGAATGGGTAATTGCGAGACCTTGGCCAGTCACTGATACGTATCTTGTGGCTAGATAGACGGCAAAATAAGATATACAAATATCTTATGCTTGTTTTTGTATCTGTTGGATTTAATTTACTTCTTCTCTGGACCTAAACTGATCAACATCATTATTACTAAGCTTGCAGTTCTCTCTGACCCAATCTGATAAGCAACTTACAGACTCTATTTCCTTTGGTTCAGGTTTTCCATTTTCCAGATCATACTGTTATGAACTTTTCTGATTATTATCAGTAGAACCTTGAGAGAAATAGGCTCTTCACACATAAAATGAAAACTAACAGCCTGGAATATATTTCAAATACTTAGGAAGTTGAAATGAACTTACAGTCTCGATTGGAGTTCTGTGTTGCTACAAACAGAACTTGGAACAGAAGCAATAGCAGAAGAAGCACAGAGTTTCTTTGGTCCATAACTCAATAGTTCTTGAAACAAGACAAAAGCTTCAGAGGGAAATGAATATCATGAGATATGAACTAAGCTTTGGCGTACAACAGAACTTGATCAATCATAGACCCTTCACGCTTGTGATTTCAAGGAGGCTAACTAATACAATTTACCAAGTCAATGGCTTCCATTTCATATTCAAATTTCTTTGGGGGACGAATTGGGGGTGGGTTTGACTTCTTTAAAAAATCTCACATCTTGCCCACTAGCCACAGAAACGTATACAAATTGAAAGAACATAAAAAAATTGTTCAAGATAAGTGACCCAGTCTTTAGCATGACATCAAAGACTTGATCCAACCCCTCATATATAGCATATACTCAAAAGACATGTCTTCTAACTATACCAGACCTTATTGGTCAAAAACATTTTAAATAAAAAAATCTTGTACGAAGTTCCCTAAAGATAAAAATATTGCACCTCAATTTCAATTATAAGGTATGTTTTGGAAAGTCTCATATTTGAGTATATAAGGCATTTTGTGGATTTTTTTAAGAATAATGAATGTCTTTTTTTCATAAAATGCTCATAAGATCATACTAAAATTATTTACTTGCTTTTATTAGTATAGTTCATTTCTCATGCATTTAAAAAGGGTAAAGTTGAGAAAAAAGACATAATGAAGACCAAATTCATAAATTAATTATTAAAAAGGTTTTTAAATTTATCATTCAAATAATATAAATAATCTATTAGTCAAACTATGAATATTTGGCATTTACATCATGCAAATTTATAACGAAAAGGGTATTTAACACGATTTATCCCTTAAACAACGTAAATTTCTAAGTAAAACAAATGAGTAATAAAGAAAAATTATGGTAAACGGGAATAGAAAATTTTTCATCAAATGACTCATCCCAATGACGATGACATTTTTTGACTTTAATAATTTAAACCTCATGACATTGTTTGACATTAAATTTAACATATTTTAAACACAATGACCATGTTTTCTTTCATTTGCATAAATTTTAAGAAAAATTCAGAACTTATACATAATATATATCGATATATATTATTTCGATGCTTCTTATAATGATTTTTTTTTTATGTACTTTTGATGAATTATACACACCTCTATTTGGATGATACAAATTTTGATAAGTGTTCATGATATATTATACATTATACGACCTATAATATCTTATTTCTTTTGAAAATCTTGATTAGGTTATATACTATTATTATGATGCATTATATTAGAGAACTTTCACATATAAATTTATATATGATACATCATTGCAATAAATTAGGGCTATGCTCATATAGAATATTGACATAATTATATAATTATGTCTACTAGTTTAGTTAATTTCAAAAAAATTAAAGAAAAGAACATTGTGAAAAATGTACTTTTCTTTTTATCTACCAAATTCTAATAATGATGTGATTAGTGGCATTATAACAAAATTCTAGCGGAGTTCACCTTTTCTTTCTTTCTTTTTTGTTCACTGTAAACTTATATTTTGTTCAAATGAAAATGATAAGTTACTATCCTATTAACTATTAATTGAATTATTTTTGCCGTCCAAAAACGAAAGAATTTAAAAAAAAATTAATCAATTAATTAATTCTTGGACATTTTTTAAAAAAATTGAGTCCCCTTCATTTCGAAGTTACAGCAAATTTGAGCTGTCAGATCCTCATGAGAATAGTCAACATCCCCGTATCGTCTTACACGTACACGATAAGATTGCGGAAATGATTAAAAAAATCTATGTGGACTTTGAAAATGAGTTCTTATGTTGTCCTGCACAAAATAAATAAAATTTAATGATTGGATTGAATGATAATTAATGCTTGTTGGTCGTCCCTATTTACTTGTCCTTACAAGAAAAGCGCTTATTTAAGAAGGAAAAAAATAAAATCAATGTACTCGTCTAATCTTAATCATAAGTTAATTTCAATATGTTCCACGCAGACAAAAGAACACCTTAAACTTTATTAACTCTTATTTAAAATTTAACAACTTTCTAACTTTATCTTTATTTGATATACATTATACCTCAAGTAAAAAAGTTAACATAACAACAAATAAAGGGTAAAATTGTATGTCTATGTAAAAAAAATTTCTCAGTATCCTATAAATAAAATAAAAAAAATTTTTTATCTGTCCTAAATAGGACCAGAGGAGTATCATGTGAGATTTTTAGCCCAAAATACGTATCATATTAGAATTATTTTTGAAAAAATGTCAATTAAATTCCACTGAAATACCAAAATTAAATTCAGACTCGCATTTTTAAGAAGCTCCACTCCTAATCAAACAGATAAACCTAATAGAGGGTTTTTTTTTAATGTTGTTCAAAAATTAAAATACCTCTCTGTAATTAAGGTATAGGCCTGAATTTAGATCTTATTATTTTAGTTGGATTTAATAGAAATTTTTCATATTAACTTTCAAGCTAATTATATTATATCCTTTATCAAGTGACTTAGGATCAACTTTAGTCTTACCAATTTATCATCAAAGTGATTCTTTCTCGTTAGAAGGATTCGCATAAACATTATCGAGTAGCTTTTACCGATTATGATTTTCCGTTACTTTTTTTTTCAGTTTTGCCCCCATTTAATATCACACAATTTTAAACCTTTACTACATTTATTTAATACCCTTTGTATAACAATAGTATTATATTATGAAAAAAGTGATCATTATACTTTAAAATTTGAAACATGACATATATATATATATATAAAGATGAAATGAAAACCCAAATCAAATCAGGACAAATTAAGTAAAAACAAAATTAGATGGAACGCGGATTGAATAAAGTATCAAGTTGGAATCTTATGACCAGAAAAGCTTCTTCCTAATTGAAGGTTGATCCAACTACAAATCAGATTAATCGGGTGCCCTATTGTTTTGTTTAATAGGAAAACAAAGGTTATTAGCTAGGTAAGAACTTTTTTCATAAATTAAGCACTCTCTCTCTCTCTCTCTCTCTATATATATATATATATATATCATATCATAAAGCGGCTTCTGTTCTCCGTGTTTGTCAATTTGAAGCCAAGTTGATGGCGTGGAAACTGGAAATATATATAGGTCGGTGAAGATACAAGGAGAAAGAAACAAATTAAAATACTCTGTTCACTATTAATGAGGGTTAAATTTAGTGGAAGGACTAGTTTCTCACGATATAATGAATCAAGATTCGAGCTACTAAAAGAATTTATGCTTAACAAAAAAAAAAACCCGTCCACTCCCACATGAAGGAACTAATCGAAAACTTTATTTAAATTACACAATTTTTTTATTTTTTTTAATTTTAAACATGAACAATTAAAAAGAGTATTTAAAAAAAAAAAACATACATTTTGCACACAAGCCATGATAAGATGAATGAAATGGTTTTCGATACCCAGACAGGCTAAAGCATCTTGAACAAATCTCCAATCAAGTCTATTAAAAGCCTTTTTCATGTCTACTTTAATTATTATTATTAATAAATAATATGGACTCATAGTTTTGAGACTATGCAATTCACACTGGCTCAAACTCATGTGTCAATGGTATTTTGATTACTTTGGACAAAATTTTTGATAAAAGAATTAAACTGATAAGTTCTCCCACCAAGCGTGGCACGCAAAAATGTGTAATCAATTATGCCCTCAAGTCCTTTTTATAATTTGTAATTAATAACTTTAAATAAATTGAAAAAGTTAGTTAAAGTTATTTATTGCCGGTAAAATCTCAAAATTATCCTAAATTAAAATTATCATTAGAAAAATTTGATTCATTAATTAGAAAATTTTATAGTTAGTTAGGGATAATAGGCGTAAAAAAAATAATGCTTTAAAAATGTTATATTATAAAATCTGAAAAAAAAAAAAACAGAGAGATTAGTCTTCCGTTTAAAGGACTTGGGGAGACTCTGAGTTTACACCAAAAAAGAAATAAAATCTAAAAAAAGTATTTATAATAAGGATGGGAAAGAATAATGATTCATTAATTAATCATTATTTCTAGTGCAAGAAATATGTATATAATAAAAAATCAGTCCCATAACTTTTCTTCTGTGTGTGTCTATAAACAAATCATAATATATATATATATTTATTTATTTATATAGGTGTGTATGTATAGCATATGCTGGTCTATGTAAGAACTAAGAACCCAAGTTGCAGTTAAGCACGCTTGTCTAACTTCACGTGGGAACACTTTTGTAATGAAAATTTCATATTTCAGTTGTTTCACAATTCATTTTTGGGTCAATTTTGAACTGTTCAAAGTTCTTTTCCATCCACCATGTCGATATTAAATGGACATACAAGCACGTTGTAATTAAAATAAAATAGTCTATCAATTTGTTTGGAATGGGTAAAAGTGGATGAACATTTTATAATTACAACTTTCATATATAAAATTATTAAGCTTTTGTCACCAAAAAACTTGTTAAGCTTTTGAAAACATAATATTTAACAAAAAAAAGTAAAAACATTACTTAACAATAAAACAAATCATGTTTAAGCCATAACATTGTATGCCTGCAAAACTGGATAAAAACACCAACGTAATTGCATATTCGTTTGCCTTCAAGTCAAAGTAAGAATAACAGGCAATAACCTTAAACGGCAAAAACACTCTCTTATAAATAAGATGTCGCATGTTCAATTCCAATTGTAAAGTCAAACTTTGTATCTGTCCTAATAATTTTCTTTTTTTGAAAAAGAAGAGTAGGAATACTATCTCTAGGCCTATTTATTAGAAACAATAGTTAGGAATTTAACCATAATTTATTTCTAATAAAAAGACATGAAGATAGTATATTAAACAAAACATGACTAGGAAGCTGCAATTTCTAAATGATTTAACAAACGAACGAAAATCCCATGAGCTGCTGCAATTATATAATTTCCAAAAGGGGACAAATATGGGAATTGAGACCTAACAATCCTTGAATGTATCAATATGACCCAATAGTATGGAATATCAAATGGTCGCACAAAAAAAAAATGTCGAAAGATAAAGCAAAGATAGTTTGGAAATCCTATGTTATGAAGACTCTATTCTAAACAAGTTATCCTAACAGCTTCGACGTCCACCATGGATAATGTTACAACTCTGTTTATTTCATCCATTGCATCTACAAATTCTTTAGATTCCTTCAAACTGTATAAATAGAAAACAAGGAAATCAGAACTACACGATAATGAAGAGCCAACGACTAAAAAAATATTTAATTCTTTATATCTATTATGTCAAGTTCTCCAATCACACATGACTATATATTCTTTTTTTTTTAATCTAAGTTTATAGTTTAATGATAATATTTTAAACATAGGACACATGGCTATATGTGATTGGAGAACTTAACATAATAAATATAAGAAACTTGATCTAAATATTGTCTCAAGGAAATTTTATCCTCCTCTCCTATTCTGAATTGGGATCGTTTATATTAAATTTAGATCATCCAGATTTATTTATTTATCTAAATTTTGACATCTTAGTAATATTAATCTAAACTGTCCATAATGGACCTAAATGATCCAAGTGGAAGAGAGAGAGAGAGAGAGAAATCCAAATCTCATTATTTCTAACCCCGACACTTCCAACAAAGATTGGATTGTGCAGAAAAAACTTATCCCTTAAATAAGATCATACATTCAAACTTCTGCGGATAGAAAAAACCACATATCCCAGTCAGTTTGTAATACAACCTAAGCATTGACTACAAGTTCTATTCATCTTTGAAGAAATATAAGTTTTATTTATCATTGAAGAACTATAACAGGGCAGGCATTACTTAATTGAAAGGGGAGACAAAACAAAAGAACTATAACAGGGCAGGCATTACTTAATTGAAAGGGGAGACAAAACAAACTAGCTCACCACACGACAGATGCTCAGACTCCATTATCTGACTGACTCATGTATTCATCAAGTTAGTGTGGCTTTTCATTTAGTTAAGAGGCCTTCACTCCACGTCCCTATAACAAGATTGAAAACATACACTACCTCCAACCTTTGATATAAGAACTAGATAACTAATTTGCAGATATTAAGAAAATTAATCATATTAGTTATTTGTAATAAATTGATATTGTTTTTATCAAAATACCATTGTTAATTATGTGCAGTGGAAATACCCCTTGAAGAAAACTCTTCAACATGTGTAATCACTATAGAGATTACTTAAGAGTAAAATGAAAAATATTAGAGATAAAGTGAATTGAGATCTTATATTTAAAACCAAATTGAATTTTTAACCAGTTCTTATATTAAGTAAGATATAGTATAACCAAAAGCAATTAAAGAAAATAAGACAGATTAACAAAACCAATCTCACAAAATAAGCAAGCTCTAAAAGCATAAATAATGTCATATGCATACCTTCTACAACCTTTGGCATCAGAAAATTGATTTACATAATCACAACCACATCACCAACGGTCACTATAACAGCTTTTGTAAAGAGTATCAGCACAACTTCCAATTCCGTCCAAAACATTACTCCATCCGTTCCTTATTATAAGAGACATTTGATATTTATGGCATGTTCCTATATATAAGAGACACTTAAAAGTTGTCTCTATTTTTTTGTGTTGATTTCCTATTTTACCCATATTTATTATCTTTAACTCACACACTCTCTCTTTTCCATTTCTCTTTCTTTTAATAATTTACCATTGTTCTCTCTCATGCTCTCTCTCCTTATTAATGAGGGCATTTTTGAAAAAAAATTATACTTTTTACACATTAATTATTCTTAACTAATTTTAACTTTTTTTTTTTATCAACATAATTCGATTATTCGTCTCTTATAATAAGGAACGGAAGGAGTAAATTCAAGTGTCTTCAGCGAGTTGGGATCACGATAAGAAAGAGGATAGTCCTATTAATAAGCAAAAGTTAAATATTAGAAGAGCAACTCAATGATTATGCTTGAATAGACTACAGGTGTTTATCTGAATGAGCATCAAATTAACATAAACCTGATAAAACAATTTCAATAATGGATGATCATCAGCATATAAAATGGACAAAAAAATTATCAACGTATAAGAATGATTTTGTTTTTGATATATCGTAAAAAAAAACTAGCAAAGCAAAAAAAATAGGTGATTTCTTCATTGTCAAGGAGCTCTCTCACGGGCAGGTCCAAACCACTGCAAATCAAAGGACCCATTTAACGCTCGCTTGGCAAGAGCATCCGCCCACTGGTTATCACCTCTAGCAATTATCTGAAACTGACCATTCTCGCTGCAGCACGCTCTGAATTTCCCGGATGATATTCCAATCTGCATGCAACTCGGGCACTTCGCTTTTTATCAGAGTTACTGCTTCCACTGAATCTGTTCTCAACCCAATCAGCCTCACGCCTTCTTCCCAAGCACGCTTTAGCCCCATGAAACATCCCCAGAGTTCCGCTGTTTGATGGTCGCCTCCTTCAAATCTGACTGAGGATCCTTCCATGATAGCATTGTTGTCGGCGAGCAATACTCCACCACAGGCTGTCCTGTTCTGAGCATGAGAGCGGGCTCCATCCAGGCTGACTACCGGTTTCCCACGCATCTCTAAGCCATCTCTATTGATCACTCCAGTTGTTGCTCCTCCTGTGTTGGCTTCACTGAGTCGCTTTGCCGTCAATGCTGAACAACCCATTATAGCATTTGCTCCTGCCAACACCGTAGACATATCCCCGCCAGCTTCTGCATGTATCAGCTTGTTGCGTCTTTGCCAGATAAGGCAGCAGAGGATAGTAAATAATGCCTTCCGATCCTGCATCTATAAGATTGATTTTCATATTTCCTGATCATCAAAGTACTTGTTATGAACTTAGCACATCAAAGACCAGGGCTGAGAAGAAAAGCTGCATCTTCCTCTTACATGCACTACAATCTCTACCTTAGTAAAAGACTTCCGCCGTTTCAAGTCAGCAAAAAGCATCCATTGACTTATATGCCGGTGCATGATGTTGAATAGAAGCAACCAGTGCCAAAAACATTTCTCATGAAGGGCCATAACAAATCTAGAACAGAGAAGCGAGGTGATCAGAACAAATAGCTGTTTAACATTTGTGGGACTTAATATAAATGCCACAATAAATGTTTATTATCACAAAATCAGTAAACATGACACATGAACTGATTATTGAAATGAATGTACAATAAAAAATTTCTAGGCATTTGACATTGTGAAGACCAAAAAAAAAAAAATTTAAAATTTCCTACAGCTAACTAGAGAGTAACAAGAGGATCAGTCTTTTGTAGATCATTCTTTTGTACAAGGTCGAAGAGAAATATCTCTGAAACTCAACCAAGTGAAATATCTGAGGTACTAGGTTTAATAAATAGATTCAGGAGTTATTGTCAAAACTAATAAAGAAGAGGGGGTAAGTTAGAAATTTTATAAATCCAGAACTTAAGGTTAATAAACAGAAACATGAAAACAAGTGGGACTCACACCCAGGCGACAAATAATTTTTAGTGCGAATATTTTGTAATTTTAACTTGCTATTCAATCAGCACAAAAATTTATGTGGCATTGAATGGTGGTTTCTCATAAGCCACGTGGATTGACATCAATGCCGTCCAAATTTTGGTTGCATGGAAGATTTGCCTTTAGTTCTTTTTGCTTATTTGCTGGACAAATTGGAAGCTACATAGAGGGAGTCAAGGTTGCAGCATGGAGGCAGCTAGTTTATTATTTCCGCTTACGTTATCTCTAGACTATATTGGCGACACAGATATATGTGCTAGCCGTATATGGTTCGGTTGTTTTCTATTTGGTTGAGACAAAAGTTGATCTTTCCCTTGGTGTTGACATAGAAGAACATTAATCATCGATGCAAAACAGACTAACAAGCTAGGATTACCATATAACCCAGAAGCATAGAACTTTACGTATTGAAGCACGTTTGGATCTTAGACTTCCAATAAAAAATGCAAGCAGAATCCATCAAAAATGGATCAAATGAGTACATCCTGCAAAAAGTAACATCAAAGATCAGTGATAAAAAGTTTTAAAAAGTCAAAGAAAATGTAACATAAAAAAAGCAAACACTTTAGAGCGCACGTTTTCCTAAGCATGGATGGATCAGATTGTTGAGAATGACAGGATCAAAGTCTCACAAACCATTGAACCAGAAATAGGCTACATGGAAAGGAGAAGAGCTCAACAAACTGCAGCATTCATATCCCAGAGATCTTCAGAACTGGATGAATACAGGGCTGTATTACAGTCTGTAAATGCTTCTCTGTAGTATTCGTAATTTGCTTTTGCACCTTCAGCATGTCCAACAAAGCATGAATCATGCAATACCTTGGCAGGTATTAAGCCCAAGACTTTCATCTCAGCCAACAACTTAAGAGATGAAATATAAGTGTTTGACACACTTAAATATTTACACAAGTTTGAGAAACTTCTGTCCCGAAGCTCTATCCTCGAATCAATCATCTCTTGTAGCATCCAATTGACCATTTCACGATCTTTTTCTTTACAAATAGCTGATAGCATCATATTACATGTAAGAACACTAGGTGTCAGACCAATGCCCTTCATTTTGCCATACAATATGCATGCCTCTTGCGTTCTTCCACCTTTAAGAAGTCCACACATACCAACTGTATATGATACACTGTCAAGTGGGTATTTCTCATTTATTGCGTTTTTGAACATTTTAATCGCAATGTGATATTTACCAATTTTGATAAGCCCATCTATTAACACGGTATGGATGTGAGCATCAACATCATCACAACTCATAACAATACCACGGTACACATTTATTGCCTCAACAATTCTTCTTGCACCACAAAGTCCGCTAAGTAATGCACAAAAAGTATACTTATCTGGTGAAAAACCTCTATCAACCATATAATTGTATAATTCCACAGCAAGAGATGGAGACCCAGCCTTACAGAAAGAGCTTAGAAGTGCATTGCAGAACATTAGATCAGCATCTACGACATGTCCGCAAACTAGTTTGGATAAAAGATTAAACTTTTTAGAAAGGCATATTGTAGACAACAATGAACTAAGAGTATAAGAATCAGGTGCTATATTTTGTTTCGACAAATTTAGAAAAACATCAATAGCATCTTGGTACATTCCCGCCTTTGAAAGGCAATCAATTAAGACATTATAAAGAATTATATCAGGATTTTGACCTCTGGAAACCATAGTATCTAAAAGCCCAAAAGCATCAGCAATCATTTTGGATTCCATAAATGCCTTGAACAAAGTGGTATATGTCACAACATTAGGAGAACAATCAGTTTCAATCATCTTCTTCAACAGATTGCTGGCAACAAGAAGTCTATGCTGTTTACAAAATCCGTTGATAAGTATAGTCCAAACTTTTGAGGACATAGCAATCCCGAAAGAGATCATGAGACCCAAAACTTGATATGCTTCAGCAAACCTATTCATCTTGCAAAAACAATTGAGAAGTATCTCAAATGACCTAGCATTAGGATAATACTGCATCCTTAGCATAACTTTAAGGACATGACTAATGAGATCAACATCATTTGACTTGGAAAGATGAAGTAGTGCAATATTAAAGGTCAAGAAGTTTGGGGCCTGAGTATCTTTTAAAACCTTCAATGCTTTATCAGTTTGTCCAATCTTAAATAAAACATCCATTACTACATTTCTTGCAAATGTGTTAGCTGCAAACCCACAACTTATCATTTGCTCATACACCTCAAAAACCATGTCATACATTCCTCCGTGCCAATAAATCCTCAATAAAAGCAAAAAAACTTTTGCCTTCATAATACATCCAACAGTCTCCAATTCCAGCACAATTCCTTTGACAGTTTTATGCTGCTCAGTGAGGCGTCGAACCACACTGACCATGCAATCAAATGCTGCCACATCATGAAAGTAATTGGGTTGTTGGGCACACCACATAAAGAAGCTCAAAGAAATTAAATCAGATGGGCAGCTTGATAAAGTGGAACATATGATCTGACCATTCAGAAGTTGCTTGCCTTTCTGAGGAAATTCTGGATCAGAATTGTTGCAAGAAATCTTCTTATTTTGACTAACTCCACTTGGAAATGGCCAAGAATGATAGTGAAATGAAGCAGAAGGCAATGGTCTGATAATTTGGTTTGACACTGTCAACAAAGTCCATCTGTTTCTCCATAACATTTCCAAGGGAGATCACCTTTCCTCAGAGCAAGGAGACATGGAAAGTTTAAACATTCACCATTATGGTTTGATAAGTAAAAATGGTCTGCATAAACAGAAATCCGAAGACTATAGTACACAGACTACTGAACCTACCAAAGACAATACTGGCATTAAGAAGCTGATAGAAAATTAAATAACTTGATAAATAACACCACAAAACGGTTAGGAAAAAGTTTAAACGTCTGCTTAAAAGAAAAAATATGCTAGAAAATAATCATATGATAGAGAATTGGTACAACAAGACCCACAAGGCCAGTACATCCTACAAGTCCTACAAGAGTTCCACATGCAACAAGCCAGCATGTGACCCAAAACCAACTCCAAGTCGCCCTCGAACTCCAAGGAACTCAATATGATTCATATGTGCTAAAATCTCTAAACATGATCAAGCATGATAGAGAGGAAGATCCACAAAAGATTTACAAATTTTCCTATGACCTATAGGAGATTTTATATGCAAAGGTTTTTAGACATAAGGATAAAAAGGTGATGCTGATGGACAAGGGAGGTGCAGTGAGAGGTAGGGGCAGTGTTGGTAAAGGCAGTGACTACTTCTTGAGTATAAGAGCATCCTTTCTAGTCTCTACGCAAGGGAGGTGGAGTTCAGACTTTTGGAAGTGAGGCTAAGGTTTAGGAGGGGGCTGGCAGCCAGTGTTGCTTTTATGTTCTTGTGTGACTATTTTATGTGCTGATGTGTTTTTCATTCCATTTCTTGTAATTCTGTCACTGTTGTGTTTTTTCATTCTGTTTCTTGTACTCCTGTCACTGTTATTTGATTGTAATTTCTGTCCCATATTGTTCGTTGTCTATTTCTAATATTTTTGTTCCTTATAAGCTTATTAGAGTAGAGGGTTCTATCAGCTTACATGGAGAATGACATGGATGATTGCATGGTTGATTAAACAAAAGATTGCATATGTGGATGATAACATCGCACATGACTTGAAACAAGTGAGGAAAGCTTCTGACTTGAAGAACAAGTCAGCAATACGTACAGCACCATTTGTTTTAGAACAAGCAATGAGAAGAGCCAGCTTACTAAGTCTATCAACCATAACAAAGATGTTATCCTTCCTTGATTGAGACTGAGGCAAACCCAACACAAAATCCAAATAAACATCTACCGAAGTCTAGGAAGGCACAGGCAAAGAGGAATAGTAACAAACCATGGGGCTGAACCTTAGGACTTTGCATGCTTACAAGTCACTAATTTAGCACAACAGCAAGAACATATTTTCTCATATTTGGCCAAGAAAAATGTTCATGCGAAAGAGATTAAGTTTTATCAACTAAATTGATAAGTAAATAAATTCTAAATATATATAACAAAAAAATACTTTGAAAAACATACCCATACCTCATATTAAATATCATAAATGTGATAATAGGCTCAACCAATATATGCCAATTCACAGCTAAGCAAATCAGCACCTTTACAATTCAAATCAAACACCCTAAATCAGCAACTCCATCATTCATTTAGCAACTTTAGCATGGAACAAAGAATAAGCTAGGTGGTTACCCATCTAAATCGTAATTTAATGACAGCAAGTTTATTCTTTACACCCTTTGCCAGGGTAATTCACAATGGAAACGCGTTCACTAGTATTACATAGATCAATGTTGCAATTTTAAAGAAAACACTGTCCATAAAATTTTCTTAGAAGGGAGCACATCAACCTATACACACGAATCAAATTCCAATTCAAGCTTTAAAGGAGAATCCAAGCAAAACTATGTTCACCACTGTTAAATTTTCATGTGAGAACGGGATCCTCGTGTATGAAGAAATGACCAAAAAGACAACACTTTCAAGCTAATTCTTTCAAAACCAAAAGAAGTAAAAGGGGAAGGATCAGGTAAGCATCAAGCTGATCAAACACATAGGGCTCAAAATTCTTACCTTGAACTAATAGCAAATGAAAGAGTATTCACAAGCGACAATGAGAGAAGCTTGGTGGCTCCATTACAAGCATGCCTCCATAATTTAAATGTCACCCTCATCTGAGTGAAGCCCAAGGTACCCAACTTCTACCTCAAAGGAATAATGCAGAGAGTGACTCAGGCTAGGCTCTTCAAAACCAAGTCATATAAATTCTGCTCCTGCATCAATATTTTACAGTAAAGAAAATAATAATAGTTGAGTCAACTAGTATGAGCTAAAAATGCTATACCGAACAAAAAGTGTTCAATTCAGTGGCAATGTTACTGATTTTTTTTTTTTTACGTTAATCTTTATGGCACATGAGTTTTGTTCAAAGTTTATAAAACTGTACAGTGAACCAGTTGATCCGTTAGTTCTGGTTTGACAAGAGTTTAGCGTTAGTAGAAATGCTTACAATAAAATTAATATAATTTTAATTTGGTTCACATGTGGTACTGGTAAGAAACCACTATATGCAGGAACAAGAAACGCATAATAATAATAATCCATTAAGGCACACCATGGAATATGCGTTAGCAAAGCTTCTTACTGAGCATCCTATCAAGGAGTCTCCTAACTATCTCCTGCGACCACACTTACATAATCGATGGGGAAACAAACTGCTTCAAAACCTTAATTGCAAGGAGAATGCTATGATACGAAGTACGAACTTCAGTGCCATGGGCCAGTCCCTTCTAAGTTAATACTTTAAACAAGAATGAGGGGTATAAACTGTGTACATAAGGTTGCACATCAAACTTCACCAAGGTTGAGAGGAAAAAGTCACATGCAATCAGTTTAATGAAAAGGAAAATCACCATAGGGCTGGTAATACAAATCAATCAATCGATGTCCCATTTGATCATGAAGTCACCTAAACAGTAAACACAGAGAAAAAGCAATTGTTCGAGATTAGTTGATTCCAAGAGTCAAACATGCAGCCCCTCAAGCAATTAGATTGGGACCTCAATAGTACTAATAATACAACAGTATCCTTGACTTGAACCTTCAAACATACCATACAGCTTCACAGTACGTTTTCAAAAATGATTGAGCATAAATATCGAATTAGACAAGGAACAAAGTACACCAAATAGAAAGCCACAAGATTCCAACGCAAAAACAATCACTTTGGATGGTCCCCCAGGAACAGGGAATTCATATTTGCCAGAGGCTGAAGCTACATAGGCAGAATTGACATTTATTATATATACTATATTGCATGCCACATGGCGCAGATTTTGGGGTTGGCTCGTTATGGAATGAATACTGTTATTTGGAACTCAATAAAGGACGTCTTAACCAAAAAGCTATTTCAATTTTCAACTTAATCTTCTTCAAAGTGCATATCGATATTCCCAACTTACGTACTGCATTATAAACTTCATCTTTTTGGTTTTGTTTAGTCAGACTTCAACTTCCAGTGTACTTTTATGTAATAATTTCGACCATTCTGGGTACATACTAAAAATATTTCAAGTTCAACTAGTTGTGAGAGAAACTAAAAACAAAGAAGAAACGAGAAATCTGAATCAAAGAAGAAAAGGAATTAAAACGTGAAACCAGATAGTTGAGACGTGTATGAGCAAGAACAAGGATGAAGAACATAAGAATCGATATAATCTCAGAGAGATACTCACCTGACGACAATGAAGATGGATAGAGGAAGAGAGACGGCGGCGGCGTCTATGGCTGCCGGATGAGGTAGCGCCGACGACTACCGGAGGCGGAGGGGCGACAGGCACCGATGGGGGAAGAAGAGCTGCCGAACCCCAAGAAGAAAGAAAGGTTTAACGTTTGCAAGTTAAAAGGGCAATGCTGGAATATCAGAAAGAAGCTATGGACAACTTTTTGGGAAGGAATCGATCGGGCCGATGACACTTAGTGCTAATTACACTTACTAATCTGAACGGTTTAGATTAAAATTGAACGGTCTAAATTTAATATTTTTAAATGATTATTTTAAAATTAAAAAAGTATTTTTAAAAAATAATAATTAATAAATTATCTTTATTTTTTATTTATATCTAAGAAAATCATTATTTTAACCAAATAAAAATGAAACTAAATTTAAACCGCCCAGAACGGATGTAGACGGTTCAAATTTGATTAGCATTAGATGCTCATCAAAATTAATAAGCACCCAATGTCATTCCGAATCATAAAAGGTGGGAGGGAAGCAAAAAAAGGTAAATTTTTCCTCCTTTCCATTCATTTTTTCAAACTAGTCTATCCCCAATGACAATAAGGTCACGTTTGGTAGGTGGGATTGACTTTTGATAGAATGAAAATGATAAAAGGAATAGGGAATGGTAATGGTAATGAGACTGGAAATGGAATTATTATATGTTTGATATAAGGTAATATATGGAAGGAGTACATGCATTTATTTTATTTTATAATAAGATATACAATATTAAAAGACTATAATACTCCTTTATATTTTTGGTACTCCAACCTTGTACAGTCCTGTGAATGTGAAACCGTAGAATCATATGTATATGCATATGTATTTTCAAAAAAGTATATTCAATTTTAACTGATTTTAAAATTAAAAATCGATAAAATATTTTAAAAATCAGAAATGGCTAGTCAGGAATAATAATTAATGTTGTTGTAAATGTAAAATCATTAACTTATAAAATACGAATAAAAAAATTTGTATCAATTCATCATACTCAATATATATAATGAGAAAAATTGAAATCCTTTTTTTAAAAAATAAAAATTAATTAAATAATATAGAAGCAACTTTAACAATAAATAATGAAAAGCAAAAATAACGATAAGCTAGAGCTCAACTTACATATTCTGAATCAAAAGTGTAAACAGGGATGTTTCTATCTTTTGAGTTTTTTAATCCTAGGATTTAAAAGCCATTTGGGATTGTATAATCCTACATATGTGGTATTATTCAAGCCTTGGTAATCTCAATATCTCACACCAAACATCACAATTTGATCCAATCCCCAGTTCAATCTTAATCCCTCCCCCTCAATCCCACCCACCAAACGTGATCCAAGGGAAGAGAATGTGAACCTCTCAAAAAATTGTCAGAATTGTAGTTGGAGAGCTATGTTTGTGTGTGTTATTTATGTTTTGTATTTAATTCACTTATGTATAGTATGTGATCTTTCTCTCCCTATGTCACTTTCTTGGTGAGTTTGTTGTAAAATATAATAGTGTTGTGTTTTCTTTGTATTAGTTATTCCCTTCTCTCTTCTTGTTAATTTAGTTTTCTGGTTTAGAAGAGTGTCCTGTCATTTTTCAAGCTCATCAAACTTATTATGCAAAAATTGTGCCCCTTCTTTCATTTTTCTTACAGAACAGTTCTGATACCAAATGTTAGAAACTAATTCTAGAATATCATAATTAAAAAACAAATAAAACAACATAAAACTAATATTTGACACTGAATGTTAGAGCCCAACTAGATTATTATAATTAAACGCTGAACTAATATTAATCTACAAATATTTCCTCCTCTAAACCAGAACATAACAAGACTAGAAGACAAAATTAACAATTAAAGGAAAAGAAATAGCTTGATATTAATAGTACTAATACAAAGAAAACACAACACTACTTAGTTATACAATAGACTCACAAAGGAGCTGATATAAGGAGAAAATGATTATAAACTACATACACCTTAATTAGCAAGTGAAATTCCGCATAAGCCGTTGAAAAAACATTTCTTTTAGAAATTGCATTAGATTCATATTGGCAAAATTTATGTGTATGTCACAAAAATATAGAACAAACATGAACCAATAGACAATTCACAAGGAGAGATGTTAACTGCTTCAGCAGTAATAATGGAGGATGACGAGATGGATTCATGCAGGGCAAGATATTGGGGACAACATAGCTAGGAGGAGATGATGGGATAATACTTATGTCAAGATAATTAGGTCCATTATATCCAAGAACCATTTAGATTTTGCCACATGTACTAGGATTACACATCATCAACTAACCAATTAAGGCATCATTATCTAGGTAGAGGGCGATTGTGTCTGTGATTTTCATAAGAGAGGTTTCATTTTTAGTTTGAATGATTAAATTTCTAGAACTCCAGTATCTTTATTTCTGAGAAACTGTGAGGAAGGAAGAGAAAGTCATCACTATGAGGGGAATTTGAGGCTCAAGGCAATTAGATCCCTAAATATGAAATCTAAAATTAGTTTATTGGAAATAAAGCTTTACAAGTCACTTTTATCTTTCTAATAGCCAAAAGTGAACAAGTATCTGTAGAGAGCTGTTTTTAGTGTCCATTGGCACAAGTTATGATCTATTGATAGGTGCACACAATTTCCAAAACCCTCAATTTGGTTGAGATAAATTTCTGCATCTATATTTTGATAACTTGAAACCAAGAGTTTGATCCAAAAGACCCCTAATTTCCAAAAGATATTTGGAATGATTCTGCAGCTAAATTTGTAGTGTCTCTGTCTTATATTTTACTCTGGAATTGTGCAGATACTCACAGGGTTGCTGATGAGGAATTCCTTCTCTCTACATGATTGAGTTCTTTGGTTTTGCCTTCGTGTTTTCACGTGCAATTAACCTACTCTTATTAAGGGTGGTTTAAATGAGTTAGGTGATGATGTGTAATATTAATGCAGGTGGCAAAATTTGAGTGGCTATTTGGATATAATGGACCTAATTAACCTGAGCTAAGTTTTGTCCGAGAAGATGGGGCAATGAAAGGAAGCTCACCTAAGCGGATAATGACCAAAGGTGAGACGGATTCACCCAAGCACATGCACGGGTGGGCGTGGGCGCAAGCTTACAAAGAATTGAAGAGACAATGGTTGGAGGATTTGAAGAAGCGAGACTGAAAAGAAGAGGTTTTTATTTTTATTTTTTACACATAAATCTTACTTAAAAAAAACTAACAACCAAGTAGCAAGAAAGTTTTAAAATAAATCATTCCCACATTGTTGGGAGATTTTATGACAAAAATTTTGTATAAACACATAAGTAATTGGTTACGAGACAATCGTTAAAAATAATGGCTAACATCAAGTAGTACTACCATCTGTTCATATTTGTGTTGTTCTAACTCATTTAAAACATAAGTAATTCCCTTCCCTCCCCTCCCCTTCCCTCCATTTCCCTCATACCAGACCAACCCTTAGATAAGATATTAAAATCAAGCCTGATATTAACATATTTGTGTTGTTCTAACTCATGAATTATTACTAGCTTCTATTTTTAATGTAAAAGTTAGATATAAAAATTTATAAACATTAAGAAAATTAACTAAATTAGTTATTTATAACAAATTTATATTAGTTTTTCTAAAGGAACAATTTCAGTTTAGTCCCACAATGTGGACTTGATAAATTTTCAGTCTCAAGAGATTCTGAAAATCCAATTTTGTCTCTCTGACACAAAATGAAATTAAATAAACAAATAAAAAGACCATTTAGCTTGTAAAATAGATAATGCACAACTCCACATACAAAAATTTACAACAACAAATAGAAAAATAACAACTCTTTACACAAAAAATTACAATTAGGAATAGAAGATATAAAACTCCATATGTAAAAATTTACAACAAAGAATAGACAAATAACAACTAAACATATGGTCATTTACAATCATAAATAGAAAAGTAACAACTATACATATGAAAATTTATAACAAATAATATAAAAAAACATAAATGTATGGTCGTCTACAACAAATAAAAGAAAAATAGCAATCATAAATATAAAAATTTACAACAGAAAATAGAAACATAATAACTCTACATATGGAATAAAGGCTATCAAATGTTTTCTACAAATTTTAAGGGCTAAATGGTCTTTTTACTTGTTTATTTAATTTTATTTTAGGTTAGAGTGATTGAATTGAATTTTTAGAATCTTTTGGGACTGAAAATTTATTAAGTCCACATTGTTGGACTTCGCTAAAATTTTCCCTCTTCTATAAATACATTTGCAACCATGTGCTTATACCCTTTGAATGAAAGTGCTTAAAAAGGCTTTGACTACTAAGTTTTCTTTATTCAAGAAAAATTGCTCATCTTCTGATCTTTCTCCAATTTGTGGTTTGTAATCTGAAACAATCGAGCATCTAATACTACTCTGTTCCTGGGTTAAAAAAATGCTGGCTTGGTTGTGCTTTACCATTAACAAATTGACAATGCTCAAATTTCCATCATCATTGAATGGTTTCAAGATCTGTTTTTTATAACAACAGGTTAGGTTAGGAGCAAAGATCTTTAGTTGCTGCTATTTGTTGGGTATTTTGAGGACACGATGTTATTGGGTTTTTAAAGAGGAAAGGATTGACTCTGATCATGCACTCAGTATTGCCACTGCCTTGGGGAATGAAAGCTATACGACTCTTAGAAAACCTTCCGGTTGCAGACTTGGAAGTCAATGGCAATAGAAGAACTGAGGATGATGCCAAAAATCCAAGTGAAATTTATTTTGCTTCTGATTGTTTGATGTTAATGTCTAATACTATCTTGGATTCTAATTATAAGACCTTATTTGTCTGCAGACCCACTAAAAAAAAGAAAGAAAGAAAATAATAGAACAAGAGTAAGGTCTAAAAAACTACAAATGAGATCTTATAATTAAAACTGGAGGTAGTATTATTGGTATAGAAGTGGTGTTGGCTAGTTTTTTAGGCCTTAGTTTTGTTCTTTTATTTTCTTTCTTTC